TGTGACTATTGTAAATAAATTTAAAAAAAATTAAAAAAAAAAAACTTTAGATGGGTTACACTGAGTATACTGGAATGTTTTAATAGAGACTACCATTTTTGAATAGGTAAACATATTTTTTTAAATGAGCCATAACTGGGATCCCTGGGTGGCTCAGCGGTTGTATATCTGCCTTCAGCTCAGGGCATAATCCCGCAGTTCCAGGATCCAGTGCCACCTCGGGCTCCCTGCAGGGAGCCTGCTTCTCCTCTGCCTATGTCTCTGCCTCTCTCTGTCTCTCATGAGTGAATAAATAAAATCTTTAAAAAAAAATTTTTTTAAATGGCTTTGTAAAACCAAGAAGACTCCCATATTTCTTATACCTTGCTTCTTTCAAAACCATCATAGATACACAACATTAAAAAGCCTGACCTTTAAAAAAAATAAGCTGATCTAAAACAAAACATCTTAGGAATGAATAGTAGGTTCAAAGTTAAGTACAAAAACAATGCAGAGGGCAGCCCCGGGTGGCTCAGTGGTTTAACACCCCGGGGTGTGATCCTGGAGACCCGGGATCGAGTCCCAGGAGTCCCACGTCGGACTCCCTGCATGGAGCCTGCTTCTCTCTCTGCCTGTGTCTCTGTGTCTGTCATGGATAAATAAATAAAAAAAAAAAAAAAAAAAAAAAAAAACAATGCAGAAAAGTATCTCTTACTAGAATCTAACATTTATTAATGCAATGACTGGAAAAATAAAAAGGAAAGCTGAAGAAACTTGTCTGGGATGATAACATCAGTTTGCAAATGTGCACAATTCAATGTGCAAGCCTGAATGATGTGTACCATAAAATGATTCCACAATTCTATATATTACTTGGTGTTTAATATGATAAGCACTGAGAAATGTGTAAAGCTTCAAGGCTTACAATCACAATAAAAAGAGCAGTTTCTGGAATGCCTGGGTGGCTCAGTGGTTTAGCACCGTCTTCAGCCCAGGGCATGATCCTGGAGACCCAGGATCGTGTCCCACATCAGGCTCTCTGCCTGGAGCCTGCTTCTCCCTCTGCCTCTGTCTCCTCCTCTCTCTCTCAATGTCTCTCATAAATAAATAAATAAATAAATAAATAAATAAATAAATAAATAAATAAATAAATAAATAAATACATACATACATACATACATACATACATACATACATACATACAAACAAAAGGAAAAGCTGTCATGTAGACTCTTCCTTGCATGGAGCCTGCCTCTCTCTCTCTCATGAATAAATAAATTTTTAAAATAAATAGGGGATCCCTGGGTGGCGCAGCGGTTTGGTGCCTGCCTTTGGCCCAGGGCGCGATCTTGGAGACCCGGGATCGAATCCCACGTCAGGCTCCCGGTGCATGGAGCCTGCTTCTCCCTCTGCCTATGTCTCTGCCTTGTCTCTGCCTCTCTCTCTCTCTGTATGACTATCATAAATAAATAATTTTAAAAAATTTAAAATAAATAAGTATCCAAAATAAAGAACTTAATAAGCCCATTGCCAAAAAATAAAAATAATCCAATTAAAAATGGGCAGAGAGAATAGACATTTTCTCTAGGAAGACATACAGATGGCCAACAGACACATGAAAAAGATGCTCAACAACTCATCATCAGGAAAATGGAAGTCAAAACCACAATATGATATCATTTCACACCTGTCAGAATGGCTGGAATCAAAAGGACAATAACAAATGCCGGTGAGGATGTGGAGAAAAAGGAACTCTACTGCAGTGCTGATAGAAATGAAAGCTGGTGCAGCCAACCATGGAAAATTGCATGTTCTTCAAAAAATTAAAAATATAATTATCCTAAGATCCAGTAATTCCACCACTGGATATTTACCCAAGGAAACTGAAAACACTAATTTGAAGAGATATATGCACCCCTATGTTTCTTGGAATATTATTTGCAATAGGTAAGATGTGGAAGTAACCCAAGCGTCCATTTGCAGATGAATAAAGAGGATGTATACACACACATACACAGGAATATTATTCAGCTATAAAAAATAACAAGATTGCCATTTGCAACAATATGGATGGATCTAGAAAGTATAATACCAAGTGAAGACAAAAGAGAAATACCACACGATTTCATTCATATGCAGAATTTAAGAACCAAATGAAAAAAAAAAGATTAAAAAAAGATTTGATTTATTCATTTTTAAAAAAGATTTTATTTATTTATTCATGAAAGACAGAGAGAGAGAGGCAGAGACACAGGCAGAGGGAGAAGCAGGCTTCCTGCGGGGAGCTCGATGAGGGACTCAATCCTAGGACCCCAGGATCACAATCTGAGCCAAAGGCAGATGATCAACCACTGAGGCACCCAGGCGCCCTATTTATTCACTTTCAGAGACGGGGTAGGGGTGGGGGAAAGGCAGAGGGGAAGGGAGAGGGACAGAGCCTGCACTGAGCATGGAGCCTGCCACAGGGCTTGAACCCAAGACCTGAGATTATGACCTAAGCCAATACCAAGAGCTGAACTCTTAACAACCGACTGAGCCACCCAGGCATCCCAAAATAAGAGACTCAAATACAGAGAACAAACTGGTGGTTGTCAGAGAGGAGGTGAGTGGGAGATGGAAGAAACAGACAAAGGGGATTAAGAGTACACTTATCATAATGAGCACTGAATAATGTATACAACTGTTGAATCATTATATTGTACATCTGAAACTAATATAACACTGTTTCTAAATTATACTTTAATAGAAAAATTTTAAAATTAAATAATGCCCTATAAACTTAAAACACTACACTTACCAAGTTATTTAACTTGGACAGATTTGGCTTCTTAAAGTCTTACCTATTAGATTATGTCCCCAAATTAACGCTGATGTAAATATGATCACATTCTTAGACTAATCAGACAACCTACCATGTACTAAACTGATAATTCTGTGACAAAGAGTAATTTGTAATAATAATAATAAAAAGAAAAAATAATAATAAAAAGAATAGCAGCAATAAAACACTCTTATCCAAAATAATGAAAAAAGCAAGAAAGGAGGGGAAAATTATAACCAACTAAAGCCAATACTATGACAAAATTCTTCCTAGAAAACTGCTAGAATTCCAGTTACCTGCAAGGATGCTCGAATAGTGGAAGATTTGTAACATCATTAGGATATTGAACTAGAATCCTCAGTAAGCTTCTTTATATGCTAATTTTAGTTCTGAATACCAAATTTTAGTAACCCCAACTTAATAATACCAAGTCCTTAGATATATGAAGAAATAAGTTTAATGGATACAATTTTATCTTCAGAAGAAAGGACTGGAATTTCTAGATCCATTCTCAGGGCTACCTTGAGTACCATTATGACTCACTCTGGTCCACAAAACCACTTAAGTACCAGTTTTAATGCAAGATAAAGCCCTTCCCTCCCGACCGTGAACTTGTGTGCACACGCTCGCTCGCTCTCTCTCTCTCTCACACACACACACATACACACGCGCACACAGGACTTCAAAATTAGGATGATGTAAATGGAAAATAACCATTAGGAAAACATTAAGAATTTATATAAGGCAATACACTTACAATATCTCACATGTGAAATGCTTTGAAGTTTACAAAGCTCTTTTTTAAGTGCATTATTTTATTAATGCATTCATCCTGAAAAGATGAAACTATCTCTATTTTAAAGACCAGAAACTCGAGGTCAAGAAAGTTAAGTAACTGCCTCAAGGTCAAGTTAGACATTTGATTAAGTGGCAGAACCAGGACTTTAATTCAGACCTCCTGCTCCTAGTTTAAGGTCTCTAAAACCCCTACTACTATACGCCAAATCTATAAATCAAATAAAGTATGTAAAAGGATTTTTGCAAGACAAAAAAGAACTAGAAGGATTTTATTATAAAGATCATTAATCATTTGCAAATGCACTAGTGAAATACCTATGCCAAGGTGCTAACCTGAGCAATTAAATCTCTCTGGGCCAGTCATTAAGACATTGCAAAGAGGTCCAAGTGATTCTAACATGAAACAAGATTGAGGAAAAAAAAAAAAAAAAAAAACAAGATTGAGGACTTCTGATCTCTATTAGATGATATAACAGTGCATGACAAACATGTTTTCAACTATCATTTGTATTTTTATATTTTCCTTTCATATGAATTAATCATCAGCCCTTAATTAAACATACTGACAGTTTAATAAAGCTAAAGTGCTGACTTTAAAGACCTCAGTATTAGCTATGAGAAAGGTGTATAACTCTGCTTAAGAGTAATTACACAAAACTATGTTCGGTCTTTAAAGAACTCTGTTCTAGTCAATAGAATATTCCACTAAAATGTACACCTTCAATTTGTGCTATTAAGAACATTTAAAATTCATTATTTTCATTTGAAGGAAAAAAAATCCAATAACTTTTCATACAATATATACCTAAGTTGCATTCATTAAGGAATAGGAAGCTTATTATACTAAACATAATAAATACAAATAGCAGTTGAGGTACTGGAGGGACCGATTAAATGTCAATTCACACTGAGAATCATTTTTAAAAATACTGGATACTGAGCCAATCTTACCTTTTGTAGACTTGTTGGATTCAACTGAGTTTTGTCAATTATTTTTATTGCAACCTAGAAAAAAATAAATAAATATTTATAGATTTTAAGAATTTGGTAAATATAGACTAATCGGTAATGGTTCCATAAGTGCCCAGACACACGGGCATTTCCAAAAAAAAATGAAAACTAAACTAGTTAACAATAATATTTTATATATTATAAATATTTTTATATTGAAACAGGGGCTTCATGCAAATGTGGGTATTGTTATAGTACTTTATATTTATGTTACTTATAGACATGGGGCAAAAAATCTCCCACAAGGCAGATACAGAGAGAAACTGATTATATAATGAAAACACTTCTAAAAATGTAGGACAATGAAGCCAATTTCCTACTTCCTATTTAGGAATACTTAAAAACATTTTTTTTTAATTTTTTAAAAATTTAATCTGAGAACAGGGGTGGTAGTGGTTGCACCATTTCTAGAAGTACTGCAATACCAAGTCCAATTCATGGAGTGGACAGCTCCTATTCCAATTTCTAGCTCCCAAAATCCTTTTACTATATTGTCTTCAGAGGATGTATCAGATATTAACCTGATAAGAACAGATCCTACACTTGATCTTAGCCAAAAGGCTGAGAAACAATCCAATGATTTTTAAAATTTATTTATTCATGAGAGACACAGAGTGAGAGACAGAGATACAGGCAGAGGGAGAAGCAGGATCCCTGCGGGGAGCCCGATGTGGGACTTGATCTCGGGACTCCAGAATCATGCCCTGGGCTGAAGGCAGGTGCTAAACCACTGAACCACCCAGGGATCCCCCAAAGGACAATTTTAACAGAGTAAAAAGGCAACCCAGAGAATGAGAGAAAATACTGGCAAATCATAGATCTGAGAAGGGATTAATATCCAGAATATAGAGAACTCATACAACCAAACAACAAAAAACCCAATTCAAAAATGGGCAAAGCCCTTGAAGAGACATTTCCTCAAAGACAACATTTAGTGGACCCCTGAACAATGTGGGGTTAAGGGCAATGCCCTCCCTCCCCAGTCAAAAATTCATGAATAACTTTTGACTCCCCCAAAACTTTAATAGCCTGTTGACATGAAGCCTTACCGATAATATATACAGTTTATTAACACATATTTTTTTTAATTTTTTTTTATTTATTTATGATAGTCACAGAGAGAGAAAGAGAGAGAGGCAGAGACATAGGCAGAGGGAGAAGCAGGCTCCATGCACCGGGAGCCCGATGTGGGATTCGATCCCGGGTCTCCAGGATCGCGCCCTGGGCCAAAGGCAGGCGCCAAACCGCTGCGCCACCCAGGGATCCCCTATTAACACATATTTTATATATTTTGTATGTTCTTACAATAAAGTAAGCTAGATAAAAGAAAATATTGTTACAAAAATGATAAGAGAAAATACATTAGAGTACTGGATTGCATTTATCGAAAAAAATCTACATCTAAGTGAACTTGCCCCATTCAAACCATGTTGTTCAAGGGTCAACTGTACAACTGGCCATAAGAACATAAAAATGATGCTCAAAAAAAATAAAAAATAAATGATGCTCAACATCACTGATCATTAGGGAAATGAAAATTAAAACTCCAAGATACCACTTTATATCCATGCTACTATTAAAACATACACACACACACACACACACACACACACACACACACACACACACACACAACCACCTCCCAGAAAACAAGCAGTAAGGATGTAGGGAAATTGGAACCCTTGTGTACGTTGATAGGAATGTAAAATGGTACAGCTGCTGTGGAAAACAGTATAGAGTTCCTCAAAAAAATTAAAAATAGTATTACCATATGATCAAGCAATTCCATTTCTGGATATGTACCCTGAAGAACTAAAAACAGGGACTTAAATAGGTATTTGTACACCCACGTTCACAGCAACATTATTCACAATAGCTAAGATGTGGAAGTAACCCCAGTGTCCACTGAGCAATGAATGGATAAGGCTAATGTGGCATTTCCATACAGTAGAATATTTTTCAGTTATAAAAAGGGAGGAAATTTCTGACACATGCTACCGCATGGATGAACCTTGAGGGCACTATACTGAATGAATAAGCCAGACACAGAAGGTCAAATATTGTATGATTCCACGTATGAGATTCCTAGAGAGTTCACATTCATAGAGTCAGAAAGTAGAATGGAGGAAGGAAAGAATGGGGAGTTAGTGTTTATGGGTACAGAGTTTCAGTTTTACAAGATGAAAAGAAGTCTGGAGATGCAAGATGGTGCTGGTTGTACATTACTATAAGTGTATTCAATACTACTGAAACAAGCATTTAAAAAATAGTTAAGATGGTGAATTTTATGTTACGCATTTTTTTTAAAGATTTTTATTTAGGGCAGCCCCGGTGGCTCAGCAGTTTAATGCCGCCTTCAGCCCAGGGCCTGATCCTGGAGACCCGGGATCGAGTCCCACGTCGGGCTCCCTGTGTGGAGCCTGCTTCTCCCTCTGCCTGTGTCTGTATCTCTGCCTCTCTCTCTCTCTCTCTCTCTCATGAATAAATAAATTTTAAAAATCTAAAAAAAATTTTTAAAAAGATTTTATTTATTTATTCCTGAGAGACAGAGAGAGGCACAGACACAGGCAGAGGGAGAAGCAAGTACCAAGCAGGGAGCCCGACGTGGGATTCGATCCCAGGACTCCAGGATCACGCCCTGAGCCCAAGGCAGACGCCCAACCGCTGAGCCACCCAGGTGGCCCTATGTTATGTATATTTTATCACAATAAAGAAACTGGAAAAAAAAAAGCCCATTACATGTTAATATAAATAACATTTTTATGAAATTCTCACATATCCTATATTCAACCTGTTGTGATATCACACGTCATACAGCCTCTGGAAAACTTTACATTTATGAGAGAGAATGGAAAAAGTAGTGTCTTAATAGTATTACAAAAATAGTTTTGACTTTGTAAACCCCCTAAAAGGTTCTCAGAGACCTTGAGGGGTCCCCATACCTACTTCAAGAACTGTTGCACTTATTCATATTAACACTTAAAAAAACAAAACTACTACTCCTGCTTCACTTGGTCTAAAGCCTCCATCTGCTTAAGTTATTTGATTACTTCCTATGAACCCACTGACCTCCAAAGGAGCTAGAGAGCCTGACGCTCAGTGAAACTGACCTGGAGTGCAAGGACCCACCACTCCAGCCCACCTCAAATGGGAGAGAAGAAATCAGGAGTCTCAATGGAAACTACAGTAAATAAAGCAAAAGTAAATGTCAGTGGCTGCAACATACAAACAATGACCACATTGTTCACATCTCAGCTGGGGACTGCTGTCTTATAGCCCTGACATACTACCAGGTATGTAAGTATTCAATAAATGCTTCCTGAGCTGATATGAGGAACACCCATACGCAGTATGGTGTATAGTTCAGTAACCACGCACATGTTTGAGACAGAGACAGAGGAGTGAAGAAATAGGGTTTCTGGTGATTTAACAAACACCTCTGGCTCAGAGGTTTAGCACCATCTTCAGCCCAGGGCCTGATCCTGGAGACCCGGGATCGAGTCCCACGTTGGGCTCCCTGCATGGAGCCTGCTTCTTCCTCTGCCTGTGTCTCTGCCCCTCTCTCTCCCTCTTTATGTCTCTCATGAATAAATAAATAAAATCTTAAAAAATAAAAAGTAAATAAAAATTACAATTCTAAGTTTAATGAATTAATTTGCTTCAAACTTTAATAAATAATTTTATGGGTCTCCCAATCTCCAAAGAAACCCCTTAAATACACGATTCCTTTCTGGACATTATATTCTGTTTTCTTCTTTCTTCTGAGGGCCAGATCCAGCAAATATGCTGCCTTTCTGGTTCTTCTTCCCTCCGATCCTGAGACCTAGTTTCTATTCTCATGACCAGACTTTGGATCACTAGCTTCTTCTGGCTCTGCTCAGTATCTGCCTTCTACTGTAAAGATTCGTTCTTAAGCACTTTCTTTTTTAAATACTGATATTCAAATAGTATTTAAAGAAGAAAAAAAGGAGTTCAAAATATGTTTCATTCAGCTAAATCAAACTGTAGGAGCGTCATTTTATTAAAAGTAAATGTCCTCTGAGTAAAACACTATCTGTCATTTACAATGATGCATGTCTGTGTGGCCATGAAGCCTGAGGCGGAAGCTAATCCCTCTTCCTCTAGCTCCCAGATGTGGTGACTCAACTACCAAAATAACCTTGTCCCAGAGCTGGCGCCAGGGGGAGAGCTCAGACCTCGGGTCAATAAAAGAGGAAGCAACTGTGGAGGCATCACCAGGTGTCTGAAAAAGATGGGGGCTGGAGAGAAGAGCACACATGTGTTCCCAAGGTTGTGGAGGTTTATTTCCGGGGGTTGGGGGTGGGGGTGGGAGCATGCACAGCAAAAGCCAAGGGAGTTCACCAGCAAGGAAAGAGGAGTGTCCCTGCCACTTGTTGTGTCAAGTTCTGGGAAATTCCATTTATTCACCCTGATGCCAGAAACAAAGTGGAAAATTACAAAATAGGGATAAAGACAGCTCATACATGAGAAGGGCTTCCCCTAACATACGTCACCCTAGGGCCCAACAAACCTGTGCAAACACCCACCAGAGAAATAAATATCCTCATCTTCCACTTCCTGTCAATTTTCTACTGGTCAAAAGGTCCTAATATCCTGCTCCCAACATGCGTTAAGCATCCACAAACACAAAATAAGAGAAGTCAAAAAGGTCCCAAGTTCTTTAAGACGATGCAGTAGCCCGGAAGGATGGATTATTAGTCAGCTCAGGCTGCCATAACAAAAATATCACAGACTAAGTGGCTTAAACAACAGAAATTTATTTTCTCACAGACTGGAAGGCTGGAAGTCCAAGATCAGGGTCTGACTAGCACGGTCAGTTCCTGGTGAGGCTCTTCCTCTTGGCTTGCAGATGGCCCCCTTCTCATAGTATCCTTACATGGTGGAAAGAGAGCAGCTCTCTGGTATCTCTTCTTTTAAGGACACTGATCCTACCTTTATGACCTAATTTAATTTAACTACTTCCACAAAAGCCCTATCTCCAAATACATTGATGGTTAGTGATTTAATATATGATTTTGAGAGACACAATTCAGTCCACAGCAATAAAGACCAAGCCGGACATCTACAATATGTAGCTACAAAATAAAACTTCAAATGAAAATATAATGCCCAACACATGGAAGACGTACAACATGGAAGAATGTCACAAGCATAAAGTCCAGTAAAAGAAGCAGACACAGGGATCCCTGGGTGGCTCAGCGGTTAAGCATCTGCCTTCAGCCCAGGGCGTGATCCTGGAGTCCCGGGATTGAGTCCCACGTTGGGCTCCCTGCATGCACCCTGTCTCTCTCTCTGTGTGTCTCTCATGAATGAATAAATAAAATCTTAAAAAAAAAAAAAAAGCAGACACAAAATATATACCATATGATTCCATTAGCATAATGTTAAAGAAAACAAAAAATGATCTACCATGTTAGAAATCAAGATAGTGGTTACCTTGAGGAAGAAGAGCAGGGTGGTGATTAGAAGAGAAAAAGAAGCTTCTAGAGTTCAAGTCTTAGTACAGTTTTGCCCTGAGTTGTGGTAATGCAAATATGTTTACTTTTGTGCTA